AGATCCAGTACATGTTCACTTACGTTTTATAAGTGCAATTAATGAAAGTGGTCATTTCCCTGTTCAATATATTAGGAAGACTATTAAGACAAATTACTAAAATAACAAGAACAATAAAATGAATAACTAATAATAAGCAAGCTGCTTTGCATTAGGTTATAAAACAAGGAAGACTGCGAAGTAAATGCAAAAATCTTCTAGATTTCATACTGAGTGCTTGTTGTCAAGTTTCTTTGTTGTTACTTCAGGAACCTCAAGAGGAACAGCCTAGACAACACACTTCCTGTGTGGTTTCTACCAGGAAGAACATTTTAATCATCAGATTCAAAAGAAAGCCTTTGGCCTTACAACAAAAGGTTGGTGAATAAATGCATATATGTGAGTCTTTAGTCTCTAATTCATTCTTCTGGTTTCAAACAAGTTTTACAATAACAATCATTATTTTACTATTATAATAACAAATAATAACAACATTCGGTAACAGATATTTGCCAATGCTGAATTGTACCTGCGCCCTGTGCTCCTGGAAAGAGGGAGTATAAAAGAAACTTGATCCTTTTGTGTTTCAGGAAACAAAACAGCATACTGGAAAAACCACCCTTCCCCATGTGATTACATTAGACTCACAAAAGCCTCTTGTTTACCAATGACAAGGCCAGGCACAGACCCTCCAAATTCCCATCCTTGGCCTCATAAATTATTACCTGGGTAAATTTATTTACCTTATAAATAAATACTCATTCCACTGGCAAATTGGAACAAAATGTTTATCAGCCAAACTGCTTAAGCTTCTCCCCTTTCCTCCCTTCAGGCCCTTCAACTTTGGTCCACCCCAGAATGAGTCAGACTACAGCCCCTCCTAAAAGTAAACTGGCCTCGGGGTTAAATATTCTTGGAGCGCTGCTATGTCCTGCCACCCTGTCATACACACACATTGTTCTTTCTGACCTAATTTACTCTTTTCTATGCTCCTAAGATACTTGCAGATATTATGATTACAGCACTCTCCCTATCATATCCCTTGCCCTCCCTTTCAATAATCTTTTTGAGTTAAGTTGACTACTCAATTTGTTTTTTATTTGACAGATTTATTGAATGCAGAGGCTTTAGAAATTAGAGTTACTTTTATGTAAGTGAAACTAGGCTAAAATTCACACCAAGGAAGAACATGGCAAGAAAAATAAAGCTCAAGGGTGAATCTGAAAAAGAAAATAGGAACTCTGACTTTTGCTTTAAAACTCTGACAGAATTTTAGGTTGAAATATATACATATTTCAGTAATATACGTATTTATTCATCTAGGGATTTTATCAGAACCAAATATATTCAAGGGTCCTAATTTATTGACCAGGTAGCTGCCCTCATGAATAACTAGTTGTATATTACAGGATAACCCAAATTCAAATTACATTCAATCTCCAAGAAATAATCTTGTGGGGAGATGACTGATATTCTGGTGTCCTATAGATGGTTCACAGAAGTGACTTCCTAAGGGAAATAATAGGAGAATTACCACTTAAAGTCTTGGATGTAGTGAGAAAAGGAGATAAACAGATTAATAATAGCATTTTCTTTATTAAGGTATCATTGATATACAATCTTATGAAGGCTTCACATGAGCAACATTGTGGTTACTACATTCACCCATATTATCAAGTCCCCCCGTCCAGACCCCAAGGCAGTCACTGTCCATCAGCATAGTAAAATGCTTGTCTTCTCTATGCTATACTGCCTTTCCCATGACCCCCCTACATTATGTGAATAGCATATTTTTAAAGAAACAACTATTGACATAATAATTTCCATCTTTAACCTACCAGAGTGGGACAAATTACCCTCATCTTTTAAGTAGGAATTTTGGTAATCCAGTGCTGCATAAATAAAGAAAATATTTTTCTTTATTTATATGCCAATCATTGACAAGGGTAGACAACTGGTCAATAAATCAGATTATATATTTATTTCAGTTTTGATAAATCCTGCAGATCAATATTACATATTGAATCACAGCATTTAAGTAGCAGCAAAATAAAAGGGAGAACCAGAATTCAAATCCATGATTGCTTAATGCCAAAGGCCACACCTTTTTTTCCATAATGTCACACATAATGCATCCAGATCTGCATAGTGTGCAGCGGACCCTCCTCAGGTCCAGAAATTAAATACCATTGTGTAATATTTAGGAATTAAGGGAGAAAATTTTGTTATGTTTGTTACATTTAAGTTTGCAAAATTAGTTGTGTTTGACCTATGTCTACAATGAGAGTTTCATAATAGTGAGACCAGGACCTTGAGTGTAGTCAGAGTCGGGTGAGGGCCTCCGAAAAAAGCAAGCAGGATATTTATAGTCAAAGCAATGTAACAATGTAAAGAAGTCCGTATGGAAACTCTGTGTTAAGCATTATGCAAAGTCAAGGTCACACTAATTCTCTAGGGTAAAGATACCAGACTAGAAATACAGACATCCTCAGTGAGATCAGTTAAAGTTCAAAAGGCCAGGAGCAACTTGGCCTGCAATGTTTGAGTGTTCTGCAAGGGTATCTCAGCAGAACCCGTGACTTCACTCTAAACAGCCTTAGCAAACAGACAACAACCCGGCCCACCTTGGGGGCAGGGCAGGTGGTACAAGTTCACACCCTAAGCCCCCAATTCCCAAAAATCCTCAACCACCTATAAATCCCCTAGACAACACACCACCCTGGGCTCTCTTGTCCCCTTCTGTGAGCCAGGAGCTCTGTCCTCTCATTGTATCTCTCAATAAAAGTCTTTCCCTGGCTCTCCTACCTTGGGTGTTTGCTAAGTTCATTCTTCAACTCTGCAAACAAGAACCCTGGCATCAATAATATTATGGCATAGTTTTCACACATATAAATGAAGTACAGTTTTGCAACCACTTTCACCAACACTTTTGTGAGGAAAAAGAAACATGTAAAGAGCCAATTAGAATACCATCTTCTCTTTCACCAACTTCACCCAGAAAATTCCAGTTCAGGGGTATATGATCAGGCGAGTCTATGTCCTTCATTACTCTCTACTGGCTGGTGCCTTAACTTTCTGTAACCACCCAGTTAGGGACTGAATTGTGTCCCCCTTAAATTCATAGTTGGAATTAGGGGTTGAATGTTGAACAGTGGTTGAAGTCTCAACCCCCAGGATCTCAGAATGTGATGGTGTCTGCATTTGGAGAAAAGGCCTTTAAAGAGGTAATTAAGGTTAAATGAGATCATTTGGATGGGCCCCAATCCAATATGACTGGTGACCTTTTAAGAAGAGATTAGGATTTAAACACTCCCAAAGGGAAGACTGTGTGAAGGCATGAAGAAGAGGACACACTACAAGCCAAGTTCAGAAAAAAACAACCCTGCAATACCTTAGTCTTGCACTTCTTGCCTCCAGAACTGTGAAAAAATTAATTTCTGATGTTTAAACCATCCAGTTTGTGAAACTGTTATGGCAGCCTTAGCCAGCTAATATGCAACCTCTCTGGCTCAGAGAATTGCTCTAGTCTTTCTTTATAGTCTCCTGCTTCTAGTCTTGCCTGCAATCAGATTTACTCTATTTTCATCCTGTTGCTTCTGACTTTAATTCCTCTTCTCTGTTTGGAACCCTAGATAATGATGACCTGGTCACAAGGCCACTGAATAAGCTTAGAATTCAGTTCTGCCCACAGGATTGGCCAATTGGGTTGGACCTTCAGACAATGATACTCAGTAAGTTACTGCCCATTTTATGTCCCAGTAGTGCACCCAGGCCTAGTCTTAGCAACCCCAGGTGGTTATTACTTAAATCTAAGATGAAATGGATGCTGGGAGGGATGTTTAAACATTAGGAGAGGAGTAATATGTTGTGATTGGATTGAATATAAAATAGAAAAAGTGGCCAAAACTTTTTCAAATTTGATGAAGATTACAAACCCACAGATCCAAGAAACTCCATTAATCTCAAGTCCAAGAACAAATGGAAAGAACTATACCAAGGCACATGATAATCAGATTGCTCAAAACAGGTAATAAAGAGAAAATCATAAAAACAGCCAGAGGAAAATGCGCCATATGTACAAAGGAACAAAGATAAGGATGACAACAGATTTCATGTCAGAAGCACAGTCAAGAAGACAATGGAGCAACATCTTTAAAGTACTGAACAAAAATGGTCCTTGTTTTCAAGAATTTTGAATTCCTGGAAGGAAACAAATGATAAACTAAAAAGTGAATATAAATATATAATATGATGGCATTAGTAAAAGCTTTAGGAACTATTGTTATCAAGAAAGCAATATAGAAAAGATTGTTTCATCTATTAAACTAGTTCCTTATTCAAAGTCATTCTAACACAAAAAGGAAAGATAAATGTTTCTTGAAAGGGTGAACTAAAGTGAGTTATTTCTCAGATGTTTGGTTAAAAGTCAGTAGCAAAAAAGGGGGGAAACTGAGTAAGGCTCAAAGAGGTTGCATAACTTGCTAGGTCCCACACACAGCACTCAAGTTAAAACTCAGTGTTCATTCAATGGCAGTGAGACTCCTATGAGACTCTTTGGGGAGGGTGGTAGGTATAAGCTCATAGTTGTATAAGAACCTTGAAATTCTTGGAGTGATACTGTTACTTGACCAACTGCAAACAGATGATGGTATATCTTAGCAAATAACACAAGTCATTGTATTGTAAAAGCGCAGATTTCACACTGAGGATTAAATGTTGTATTTCTCTGAAATTTTAAGACTAATCCTTGTTTTATCTGAAAAGAAAATTCCTCCAGGCTTTATTGAATAACACAGATTAGATTGAGAAGTGAAAAAGGAGAAAGGGGAAGGAGCTCAAATAAGGCAAGCATACAGTGTAGGGCTTAATTCATTTCAATTATAAAATAGATGGATGAGTAAGATAGAGCAAATATTAGCAATGCCTTCATGTTTTTGATTTGCATTGGAAATTGCTGATTTTTGTCTGTTTACAATCACAAAGATTTCTATTATTTTAAAAAGTACTTATACTTAAAGATAATGAGTGGATTTGATTCTTCGGTCATACTTCCATTTTTGAGCCTGATTCTCATTTTTATTTTAAATATTAAAATCTTTGTGACTAAAGCTTCCAAGCAACATTTTCCTCCAGGACCCAGACCTTTGCCCGTTATCGGAAATCTGCACATTCTCAATCTGAAGAGGCCGTATCAAACCATGCTGGAGGTAAACAATAAATTGCTCATTGCATACATATTACAAGTTCTGAATCATTCTTACTCTTGTGGGTTTATTAGTATGTATGTTTTTACACTGGTTCATATACGTAAGTAGGAGGTAAGTAGATAGGATTTTAAGTTAATTAACAAGCTCTCATTTCTGTTTTTTTCAAATTTGCATACATAAAACTATTAGTAAATATATTTCTATTATGTAAAGGGGCATTTTTATCCTGAAATATATATGACCTGTATCCTTTATCTCAACCACTTTGATATTTATATTTCATATGTCGTACAATGAAGGAACTGAATTATGACCATTATTTTATTGTAGAGACTTTTAGTTAACTATTAAAAACAGTAGGTACAAAAGGCACAATCAAGATCAGAGCCGCAGACGCTGAGATTCAGAATTCAATTGTGGGTTTGCCATTAATTAGTTGTGCGAAGTTAGTTAAGAATTTAGTCTCTGTTTCCCCATCTGTAAAATTACAAGGCTAGGTCAAGTACTAGATCAAATTTCTCTTACTTCAAAGATTTTGTAGCTTTTGATTGTGGAGTACAATAAGAAAGAGAGCGGGAAAGAGAGAGGAAGGAAGACAATAGATGACATAAAAACCATAGTTGGCATTTGGCCATAAATTCCAATAAGTTCTAAAGGGCAGGATAATGAAGCTGAGTTCTGCTATATTCTGTTACTTCACAGTTTGAAATCCTAAGGGGAGATAAACCAAAGAGGAGACCATTACTTTAGTGCAGTAGGCAGCACAATAATAACACTTAATATTAGTACTGTACTTTTTATTTTACAAAGGACTGCAAGGTTTTCACTTATTCCTCACAATCACCCTCAGAAGAAAATAAGAATGACATTTTATCTCAATTTTACAGATGCATGACTCAAAGCAATGAATTTCTAAGTAACTAAAAACCAGGACTTGAGTTTTCTGATCTGGTTCTACTTCATGAATCTTCTTCCTGCACTCAAAGGTCACATGACAGGTTGATTCTTCAGAAGAACAAGACATTCAGTCAAATTCTTCATCTAATCCATATGCCCCAACTACATTTGTTTTTCCTCAATATTCCTGCCCTTTGCTTAGCTATTAACTGGCCTAATCTCTTTACTAGTCTTTTATTTTTTCTCATTTTAACCTCTGTACTATTGTTCGGTGCTAATTTCAAGATCATAGCCCCAGAAGCTGAGATTCAGAATTCTTATCTACACTTCTCCCTAACTTCTGTCTACATTTTATTCTTAAAATTTACTTCTGGTTTTTTGCTCTTTGTCTGAAACATGCCATATCCACTTTATGTACAGTGGCTCTCACCTGAGACTGTCCTCACAGCTTCCAATTCTTATTGTAATTTTCACTTTCCTGTAATAATAATTTTAATTACATTATCTTCCTAAATATTGAGCCCTTCTGCAATTCCTGTTGCTATTCTAATATTATTTTCTAAGTCAAGTTTCTTAAAGGAACATTAGAAGTCCCATCTCATTCTTTACCTGAACCTGTTGGGTGAAGAGCAGAGGCTCTGCACGCCAGCGAGCCTGGATGTGTATTCCTTGCTGAGCACTGTCACTAGCTGTGTGATTTTTTTGAAGCCCCAGTATGTTGCCAATGCACAGAGATAGTGATACTATCTACTTCACTGGTTTGTAATGTGATAACGGTGCTGGGATTATAGTTAGGAGCCAATAAACATCAGCTTTTGTTTCCTTTTAATTATCAAAGAAAATGGCATGTTTTTTGCAGCAAAAAGTGTCGCATGGTACTATAAAACTACCTTGGGTCTACTTTGGTCACAGGACCCCACAAAGAATAGAGCATGAGCTTGGTGGTCAGGCGGTCAGTGTGGTAATCAGGAAGTGCTTTGTTTCCCTAGAGTCCTGGTGGGGGGCATTTTCTGGGACCAAACAAAAATGTAACAGGGATAAACTGAGCCAATTCCAGGCTGTCAGACCACTGCTACTTAAATCTCAAACAAAATGGAGCATAAGGACAATCAATTGATGATTCTATCAATGGCTTAAACAGGTACAGCAACCAGCGCTGTATCCTTAGTGAATGAGTTCAGTATTCTCCTTTCTTTTATAAGCTCGCATAACTGGTTTGCTGAAATTACATCACCAAAGACCAATATCCAGTTCGCTTTTACTACAGCCCGATGTTTCAGGTGCTTCTCCTTTTCTTATATACCTAAGCTCTCCCAGAAATATGGCTCCATTTACAGCATCCAAATGGGACCAAAGAAGGTGGTAGTGCTTTCTGGATACGAGACAGTGAAAGATGCCCTCGTCAATTATGGTGATCAATTTGGGGAACGATCTCAAGTGCCTATATTTGAAAGGCTTTTCGAAGGAAAAGGTAAGGAACTTTGAAGTATATCTTTGTGGTTACAACTATTTAATAAGCCAAAAATAGTAAATTAAATATTAAATATTCTCTTGCATAATTCCTTTTGTGATTTAATTTTCCTTCATTAATATATAATAGGCAAAAGGTGTTTACTTTGGAGAAAATTTGTAATTTATAGATTTATTCTCATTGGTACATGTTAATTACTTCCATAATCAAATAATTATTAGCCAGCAGCGAGGTGAAAAGTCCACTGCCAGGGAGATACAAAGATGAAGAGAATAGAGGCCATCAGCTGAAAGGATCACAGTCTAATGGCTGATGCAGACCCACTGAACAATACACAGTATTATAAATACACTGAACCATATTTTCACCTGGATGAAGTTGTATCTTCCTCATGTGAGTCTTGCTAAATGTCTTTGTGAGATCAAGACTCTATTTTTATGTCATTGCAGCAATCTAATAACCCTTTAAGTTATTAGATGAACTCTTTAACACTAATAACTCTAAACATGGGAATAATTTCACCATATTATTTTTAATGAATTAATATTGGCTCCTACTAAATACTACTAAGTCATTTTCATGCAACAGTTTTTTTAAAAAGCATTTCTCACACTATTGTCCTAAAAAAAAAAGAGTTATCTGAGATGTTAATAGATGTTCTATGCAAAAAAGTAGTATCAATCAATGAAGTGAATTTGAAAAATGCTGTGTATTATATTCTTCTCTGTGGACTCAGGAGAAGCCCACTGGGATAGTAAAGCCTCTGAGAAAAACACCCAAAGCCTATTTAATTTTATTTAATTCAGTGTTCACACTTATTAGTCTTTGAAACATTTCTCCTTTTTTGGAATTTCCATTGACATCTCAGAATCAGCAATGAGGAACAGCTTATTCAAGGTTCCTGATCTTTAGTTTCCAGGATTCATCTTTATTTTCCTTCTAGAAATTTGGGACATTTTCTTATCTCTTGCCTCTGGCATCTCTGCTCTTTTCTACAATAACTCACATATTACTAATTTGATGACTACACACAAAATTGTTTTAATTTTTATTGTTACCAAACATGATTTTTGTCCACAAGCAAACCATTTGTTTTAAGAATCAAGCAGCCTTCTTTTTAAGTGACTCAATTTGTCATGGGGAATGTTGTTCAAAGAGGGAAATTACTCCATTTCCCACCCCACCCGGCAAATCTGGTAATCCAAAACCATTCAAATAACTGTAACATTCTTTAGACCAGTTTTGTATGAACAAACAAAATGATATTTTTGTTACCAGTAGACAATTTGGGAGTACTTAATAAATTATTTTGCTGCATAACTTAAATATATTTAGGACTTTGGTGCAAGTATTGAAAAGGAGTTCAATTCCTTACAGTGTTAAACAAGTGATCTCTGCATTACAAGACTATGGAGCTATTGCTTTTCTCTGAAAGACACAGCCACTTCTGTGGGTCCTTAATAATCTATACTGTATTCTAAAATATATACTTTTGAAATGTAAAAATGAGATAGCCTGAAGTCACATAACTGGTATAAAAATTTAGGATCCATAGAATATTAATATATTAATGTTAATATAAGATTTGAATGTGAGCAGAATCTAACCTTCACTGGCATCCTTTCAAGGAAAGCTTAACCTGACATGAAGTGGTGATAACAGCTCTGGAGATATGAAACCCTTTTAGATTTCATATTGAAAGAAGAAACAAGGCTGGTGTTGCCCCATTTTTCACAGCCTAGGTTGCCTTAGTCTATTCTAGTTTCCTATTTCTGGTGATCAAACTCAGAATTTCTCTCCAGTCTTTTGTGCTTCCATAGGGGGAAAAAAAAAAAGAGGAAGGATTATGGGTAGAAGCTGAAACATAAAGAATAATGTCACTCTTGCCACAAATTCTACCACAGAAAGATGTGGGCAACCAGAGCAACCTCTTTCCTTATTTTTCTAAAAGTTAGCACATGCTCCAACTCCTCTAAGTAACTTCTCATTTGATCATTACTATTTTCTTTATCCATGCACAAATTCACATGTCTGTTTAGTCAATAAATATGTATTGAGCACCTACTATACATGTTAGAAATTAGCATGAATAGTACTAATGTGGAAGCTTGATTGTAATTCTTGGTAATTGTAACTTTTTACTTGGGTAGTCTTGTGTGTACTAGTCTACATTTTTCCCTGGCAAAAGAGACTTTGTTTTCTATTTTTCATCAATCCCTTAGCCACACCTAGCATGATGTAAACATATACTATTGTTAACTGAATTTGTCAGAGAAATATAATTTAAAAAAACTCTCCCAGCCCAGTAATCCTCCTCTCCACAAATGAAGAAAACAATTTTATTATTGAATAAACATTAAACCAGAATGTGATGTGCATCCCAGACAATCCACTAAGAGATTGCAAAGACAAAGAAATCTCACCGTTTTATATAATCCAGCAGACACAAGCTATTACAAAAATGCTTTCAAGATAAGGTATAACTAGTCAGTCCTCAAGAGGACTTGACAGCACCATTTGTCACGCATAGTTCATCCCAGATTCACCAGGTGGTTGGGATGGCTATCTGTGTTAACTGGCTTTATGCAAAGAAAAAATAAATATCCCATATCTTGCTGACAGGAGGTCATTCTGCAGCTTAGAGCAAGGCACCCACCAAAGATAGGCTCCTACCCTCCCACAGACACTGGGAGAAGGGGCACTCTATCCCCTGATGTTTATATTCCAAAGAGATGGCTCTTGGGTCCCTAAGAAAGACATTCCTAGTGCATAAAGTTGACAGAAGAGCCATATAGTGTTCAAAATGATTTACGTATGATTCAAAGGGAGGAGAAAATACTTACAAGTAAATGCTTTAAGAGAAAGAGAAGTCTCTTCACTTACTTTCAACGGGGAGAGTTGGGAGGCCTCTAAAATTTTTATTGGCCCTTGTAAATTAAATGTTAAAAACTTTGAGGAAATAATCTTGAAAACATTTTCCTCCTTATAAAGAATTGCTTTCTCTCACGGTGAAGCTTGGAAAACTATGAGAAGATTCAGTTTGACTACCTTACGGAACTTTGGAATGGGCAAGCGGATCATTGAAGACACAATTATAGAGGAATGCCAGCATCTCGTACAGAACTTTGAGTCTCACAGAGGTGAGTAGAATAAAACCGTGTTCTATTTTTCAAGAAAAAAGGGTCAGTAAAAGATATATTTTTAATTACTTAGATGTAATTTTAGACTTGTAGGAAAATTCCAGGAATATACATGTAATTCCCAATATCCTTCTACTCTTTTTCTAATATTCCTCAAATGTCAGCAGTTTACATTTGCTTTCCAGTTTTCTTGGAACTGTTCGAGAGTGCTGTTCCTTTATTCTTAACTACTTCAATGTGTTTCCTTAAAATAAGCAAAAACATCCTCTTACATAACCAACGTACGGTTTTCAAAAATCCAGAAACTAACACTGACATGATCATATTATCTGATCTGCAGAATACATTCAGATTTTGCTTTGGCCCTATTAATATCTTCAATAACAAAAGAAAATCTTGGATCATGCATTGCATTCAGTTGTCATCTTTTTTGCCTCCTTCATTCTGGGACAGTTTCTCAGTAATAGGTACATTTCCGCTCCCTTTAAATAATATATAGTTAATCCCGTATTATTTTTATCAATAGGTGAGATGAATAATCCAATGACTCATTTTCATGTCAAGAGTTTTCTCATTTCCTTAATAAGCTGAGCTCATTCCTTATTAAAGATGAGCTCATTTGAATATTATCTTCACTGATGCCGGAATTAATGTGAAGAGAAATGGTCAAAAGTAAACAAGCCTGAAACGAATTCAGAGGAGAAACAGAAGGCAGTGCACTTAGAGAGGCTCTTAGCATTTTGTATGAAGTACATTGTAGAAAAAAACTATTATTCCTTCTCCAGAGTTAAACTCCTAGGAAATGTTAATTTCTCAAGGCTTGTGTGCATAGCATCCTACCTTTCCTTCCATTTGAAGAAAACATATTCTTTACAAGAATTCCTCTAGACTTTGAGCCTCCACATTTAAGATAGGTGCTGATGCTAAGAGTGAATTAATAACGAGAAGGCTTTCACTGGAAAATAAGTGCCCACCCACTGATACATGTTTAATAATCTAAAGAGTTTTTAGTAGTTTCCAATAGTTTTCCTGAGGAAAACAGGACCACTAGAAGAGCTGAAACAAAGAACTGTTCTGTATAAAGTTCTTTAAAGTTGATTTTTAATCATCTAGATGTCCTAATTAAACTTTTAAACTTGAATGCAGCCTAGAAGGTTGAAATATGTTCCCAGGTATTATGCATTAACACTCCCTACATGCACATATACACACCCTCAGCTGGCATATTTTAATTTTTTTAACTGAGCCAAATGTAGATTTTCTTTGACATACACTTTTAGTTTTCCTTGCAGTAATCTTTTAACAAAATTATGGGTATTTTTCAAAGTCCATTCTGTTCTCACTGCTCCTGGGAAGAAATGATCACCGATAATGCCTTTCCT